CCAGCCATTACAAAGTATAATTAAAAGAAATAACAAGATCGCGGCATTATTTCCTTTTTTTAACTAGTATTTTTATATAAACCAAATAACAAACTCAATTTCACTATTGAACACGTCGGACACAATAAAAGTGATATATGGTATATAATATATGATAAAATAGGAAATTGGGAACACGCGCATGCGCATTGCGAAAATACACGAATTGTGGAAGTGAGAAGCAATCGTCTGCACCGTGATGTTTGCTGCAGCTCTTAATTGCCGTTAGCAATATAGTAGTATTAGGGCCTGCGCACAATAGAGGAACAAGAATTAGATATTAAGATTTCAACCTATCAAAAACCGCGTATTCCGATGTAATCAGTTTCTGATAGGTTGAAATCTTAATATCTAATTCTTGTTCCTCTATTGTGCATGCAAACCCGGTCGGGCCGAAAACGCTATAATATTGGAGAGAATGACTTTAGCAGAAGTTTATCACCCTGATACATGACGGGAAAATGAGATAGAAACATTCCAGAAGCTCTATTCTTGAAAAGAAACGTATACGAAAGTCTAGGGAAATGTTACAGTATACGAAACGCATACTGTAGCATTTCCCTAGACTTTCGTATACGGTTCTTTTCAAGAATAGAGCCCCAGGTCGCATTGGTCGAGCATAGGAACTTTGTCCACTATTGCAGTCAGAAGATGCGATCAACGCGATGCTACAAATGCTTTAAAGCAATTTTTGATTGGTCAATTTGTAAAATTCTTTTTTCTAATTGGTCAACCAAACGCTTCAAAGCATTTGTAGGGAAACTGACCGCAGCCAGAGTTTCTATCATAGAATCCATAGAAAATAGGCCTGTTTTTGACTGAACTTTTGCACCAGTTCTTCTTTCTTCCTTTTCTCTTTAGGAGGAAAGAAGAGGAAGAAAGATGAACTGGTGCAAAAGTTCAGCCAAAAAGAACAGGGTATCAATCATGAAAGTTTATCCTTAGGATGGAAAGTAAAAAGTGAAAATTTTAACCATTGAAGTTAATGGAGAAATTTGTCACTTTTCACTTTTCATCCTAGGAAAAAAGTTTCATGATCGATACCCAGGCCTTGTGTTGGAATTATTCCGTTTTTCCTAGAAAAACAATAGAAATCTAGGAAATAATTAAATAATTCCGAGTAGATTACCTTCTTTTTACATCATGGTCAACGGTTGATCAACGTAGTGCAGTTGAAAATTTGGTTCAAAACAAATTGTGAAGTATTTCTTGTTTTGATTATTGTGATAGTAAAATACAATTTAAAAAATAAATTTAATTTCGTAATTATCTAAGTATTACTCATTATAAAGTGCTGTTTTGAATCGATTTAAGCACTTATTTTGAGAATATTAATTTAGAAAGAGAAAGGAATTCTATATTCACTATGGATAAAAGAAAATTAATATTAAGAAACAGTAGTTTACATAAAGATATACAATTAAGTAATCAATCGTTGGAGAGAAGTAGCTCTAGCAATAAACAAATAGATTCTTGCATGACAAATGTTGCAACACAGGAAAGGAGTGAATCTTTTTATGAAGGTGAATTGTCAGATAGGTCAACAACATTAAATATCAATTCTAAAGAAAAGAATTTATCTATTAAAAGTAAAAAAAGAAGTTTTTGTGAAACTGAGAATATATCAGAAACAGATGAGTGTCCAGTTACCTCTAAGGTATTGAGAACATCCAAACAGCTTAATAGTCAAGTGTTAGCAAATACATCTTTTAACCAAGAGAATATTCGTTTGTCAAGAAATCGTGTAACGATGGCAAATAAGACTTTGGACACTACTAATCCATCTGTAGAAAAATCAGTTACATCGAAAAATAGAAGTGTGAATTATTTATCCGAAGATTCAGCTTCAGATAATAATTTTGATATTTCATACAATGATCGTAACATTGCAAAGAAGAAACAGAATAAAATTGCACTTGATAGAAACACAAAGTGTATTACTCCAGATACTAATATCAGTCGTAGTTCTCCTAGAAAAATATGTCAAGAACCATCCACTAGTAGAATACTTATAGAACCTCGTATTTCTCAGAAAAAACAACAAGATAAAGAATTGCAACCAGTTTCAAAGTCAAATAAGCAACATCTTTCAAAAGAGCAAGTTTTTCAGGAACCATCTATTTTTTTTAATTTTTTACAAAAATGTGGTATTATATTGTCGACTGACATACATACACTTAGTAAGTTTCCTTAACATATACATCTCTTATTCTTTAATTAAAAATAAGGAAAATGTATAAATTTATGTTTTACATGTTAAATTTTTTTTATACAGTTGTTCCTCCATCCATTGCTAAACGCAAGATGAGAAAAGTATTAAATTCAAAGCAATACCAAAAAAAGGATGTAATTGATTCGATAGAGGAATATATTATACGTGACGAAAATTTTTTGAACATGTTAAATGATATGGAAATATCTGATAATAATAGTTTCAGTGTTCTAAGCAAAATAACTCTTGCAAGAATTCTGTTAGAAGTTCCAGAAATTCAAGCAGATACATATAATATGTTCATATCTAAACTTAATGAATCTGTTCTTTTAGTGTAAGTATTAAAATCTATATAAAAAAAATTTTTCTAAACTTGAATTCGAATATTTTTGACAAATTATAATAATCTACTCACAAATAAGTAAAAAGATTTTCTTTTGTGTATCTATTGATATTTAAATTAATTGAAATAATTTTGATGTTTGATGAATTTATATTCATGGTCATGTATATCTCTGTAAAGATTGATTTAAATTACTACAATGTTAATTACCAAATTAAAATTACCCAATTAATTACCAAATTAATACAATGTTAATGAAAAGTTATAAACATTCAATGATTTGTGAACAGAACTTTTCTTATAATTTGTAAGAGGAAATCAGAAATAAATGATTTTTAGTTATTGTTCACATACACATCTTGGTCCGTATATTTTATAAATTATAATAGTTTGTTGAAATTTCTTTATTCTGTAGGAATGCAGAAATTCATTATAGATTTTCATTCGTCGAATTAATTATTGTCAAATTCTTTTGAATAATCCTATATTAAAGTTGTAATAAATAATACATTTTGAGATATACTATCTCTTTCAAAACATCCTCTATTTTTATCAATTTCACATAAACATGACTTATTATTAAGAACAATTTTATTTGTAGATTTTTGAATGGTTATAATTTTTTAATGAATCATTTTTGGACATAAGTTTACATGAACATTTTTTATTTACTTGATTAACCTTTATAGACACCCTGTATATACAGAGTGGATCATTTAAAATGTTACAAGCTGTTATTCCTGAAAGTATGCATCAAATCAAAAATATATTAGACAAAATTTAAAATATAATTTTGAAACAAAGACTGTGAGAGCCAATCATTC